AGGGAAGACACCAGCATTCCAAGTCTCCCCTGAGGTAATGTGCGCCTGTCACAAAACAGAGTGACATTTAGTCAAGTCTTGGGACACCACAGCCCAGCTCCCACTCCTGACTGACAACGTGGTTGCATGCAGGGCTGTGGCCGTAACCCAGCTCTGCCAAGTCAACACACCTAATATGTTGCAAAAAAGACGAATGCCTCCATTTAGTAGCAGAGCAAACAGACTCGTCAGAGCAGGAGTGATATGAAGGTCTGATCACATCCATGAGTCAACACCAGCAGAAAAACTAGGGGGAGTGAGGGGCAGGCAGACGGGGCAGGGACACAGCACTGGGAGCAGGAACCGGGCTCAGGGAGAAGCCCAAGAACTAGAGACATGGCAACAGGGCGAGAGCAGAGGCAGGGTAGCAGGTTTCTAATACAGGAGAGGCTGGAGGTGACCCCAGGCAGGACGAGCAATTAAAACGATTCACTGGCTCAGCACTGACGTTAGGCAACACTGTTTCACTGGGGGGGGGGGACTCCCTCCTAGGGGAGCAAAGTCTCAAATGGTGTGATGACGTCACATGCTTTCAGACAAACTGACCATGGCAAGGGGCGCCGCTTGTTTAGCAGTCAGGACACTGGTGAAAGAGGGTTCCACGGGGACCAACAGGAGCCTGTATGAGAGGTTCATGCCACAGTCCAGGAAAGCCCCCAGCATGACCCACCCAAGACCTGTCCACCAGTCACTGACTCTCCAGGATGGAGATATGAGAGAGCGCATCAGTGGATCAGGAGGTAAAGCCCTGGTCTCCAGCAGCACCCGAAGTCTGAACAGGAGCCTGCGGAAGGAAAGCAGAACATAACCATTCCCCAGCCAAATCTCCCCGGGGGTAGGAAGGCCCCAGGAAAACATTTTTAAACCTAGAAACCCCCCCCCCACCCAAGAAATAAAGTTCTTCAGAAATGTGAAAGCTGACCGTACAGCCAACCACTGCAGACGTGATGTTGTCAGCATGGACTGAGGGGCCAGGCGGTACAGGGGACCTTGGGAAGTTGCCGGCAGGAAGGAGGCAGGCAGGGACCCAGGAAACGAGAGAGCCAGCTCTGGCTCACGGAAGCACGCTGCCTCAAACCAAGTGACACTGGTTCTTGGGACTGGTCCCTTCATGGTTTTTGTAATTTCTAAAAATAATCGTAGAAGCATCTTTTAAACTTGGGGTAAGGAAGCATTCGCCTCATTTCATCAACCATGGCTTCCCTTAATGCTTTTCCGTAAAGGCGTAGTTCTGACTGACTCTGTTGTCACGTGACCTCTCGTCCCTGCCTGGGCCTTTACAACTATCTGCATAAACTCCACCGAGCATCAACAGCGATTATCTCAGTGATGAAATCGTGGGCAACACTTTTAAACCTTTATTGTCATCTTGTTGAATGGTGAGTATTCTCACAAAGCCAATGAAGTCATTTTTTTCAATGGGGACAGTGCCGGGCAGTGGCTGTCCTCTGGTCCTTGGGAGCGCAAGCTACACCTCCCAGGTGCCTCACTGGTCCTGAGGGCTGAACCAAAGGGGCTCCCCCTTCTGCATGGTGGCATATCTAGAGCAGCCTCAGACCCCTGCTCCACGCTGGCCTCAGGCACAAACAGGTGCCAGGGCACGAGGGGGACCACATGGCCAGCCCAGAGCCTGCACCCGAGAGACTGTCCACCCTCCAATCGGGGGTATCCCTGTGAATCCCGAGGAGGTGCATTGCTCTTCCTAGAGCTGGGGAGAGACATACCTGGTCAGGAATCTGAAGTGAAGGAACAGTCTAGAATGGATACGGTGATAGCACTGCAATGCCCACTGTCAGCGGTGGCNGACCGAGGCCGCGGCGGGCGGGAGAGGAAGAGGAGGAGCGGCGCGGGCGGGGGAGG